CCCTCGCCCGCTCCGGAGCCGCCTGGACGCCCACCCTCCGCCCCGCGCTCATTCCCGGCCCAGGCCCCGTCGGGGAAGTTCGCACCTCGGACTCGATCGCTTTGGTGGTTTTCACAAAGCCCGGCGGCGGGCAGGTCGGCCGCCGTGGGGACGCGGATGCCCAGGACCCCGGGCTGAGCCCGATCGGTAACTACAAAGAGGGCGGGCGGGGGCCGGGGAGCGCGCCTCCCCCCGGGCTGCAAACGCCCACGTCCTCCGCCGCCGCCGCCTCCGTGGCCAGCGCCCCCTTCGCCGCGTCCCGGCCCTCCCCCTCCCTGCTCCACCTTTGGCTCAAGTTAAACCTGGCCGGGCCTGTGGGGTCCCAGGCCAAGACAATGAACCCCAACTGTCGGACTGGGCAGAGCCCCAATCCTGGGGTGGACAGGAGGAGGGAGGCGTGGGCGGCCCCGGAGGCAGGTGGGGGGAGGTGGCCTGCGCCCTCCCTTGCTTCTCTGTCTCCTGGCATCTGGGGGGGCGGGGTGCCTAGCGGTCCTGGCCCCAGCCCTTGGCTCCGATTGTGGGTCCAGTGTCCTAATGTAGGTGTTTGACAAGCTTTCTGTCACATGCTGGGGACCCAGTGGGGACTGCCAAAGCTATACGCTGGACACATCTGGGTCCCCATCCTCCAGCAATACCCTGGGGGGCCGTAGAGATGGACGAGGGCCGTGACCTATTTCAGACCCAGTGCCCATCTGCCCCAGCTGCTCCAACCTCGTGCAGGAATGCGCGGTCCGGAGGGGCATTGAGGGACAGGTTCAGGCCACAGGCGGGATGGACTGCAGCCAGATGCCCACCTGGTATTGGGGGGAGGGAAGAACCCCTTCAACCCATCTCTTCAGAACCAACTATCCCCCCAAACGGGGAACTGAGAAATCTCATGCCTTGGTGTGGCCCAGGAGGGCAGAGGGTGCACGGGGGGCATCGTCAGGCTCCGGGTCCCTGGCTGACTGGACCCCCACCTGGCCATTTCTAGGAGGATCCTGTTGGGAGGGGGCCATCCACGTGGCCCCAAACCTTGCCTTGAAGGGCTGCTGGGGGTCTGGGCAGGGAGACAGGTGGGGGCTGGGGGCTCCCGTGGCCCCTCCCTCTTTTTCTAATTTTTGAATCGCCTGGAAGCTGGCGCCCAGCAGAGGAGTGTCCAGGGGGCCGCCTGACCTCAGCAGGTGGTGGAGGCGGGGCCGTGAATGTGCAGTTATTCTTTTCTGGCTGGAGAATGTTGGGGTGAGGGCACCCAGGGGTCTTTGGACTCATGGGCTTTCTGGGAAGGTGGAAATCGAGCACATGATGTCCCTGACAGGTGGCCTCACCTTCCACGTCTTAGGGGTCCTGAGTCAGCGACCTGGACACAAGGCTGGGAGAGACAGGGAGGGGCTTTACTTCCTATCAGGAACGGGCCCAGCCCCGGTGCCCTCTGGGCAGGGGGTCCCCTCCTGTGCTGGGCCTGGCTGCTTGGTGGGAGAGAGTTGGAGAGCAAGAATGTGGGGTGCTGGGAGCCAGAATCTGCAATCTGGTCCTGCCTTGGGGTTCAGCTGTGTGACTTCTGGCCCGTAGCTGGCCCTCTCTGGGGCCCTGCCAAAGCGGGCTGGAATGATGAATGAGAAGCCAGGGTGCTTGGGAGGAGAAGTCTGGGCACCTCCTGCCAAACGCTCATCTTGTTTGGCTTCATTTCTGGGGAGCCAACAGGCTGCAGCACCCTGTCGCCGTGGGCAGGCTCCGAGCAGCGGCAGGGGGTGCACCCAGGCTGGAGGGACCCCTTCCAATGCAGCCAGTCTTCCCGGGGGCGGGGTCCCTGGCTCTGGGGGCCCCGTGAGGCTGCACTGGGGCAGCTGTGACGGTCACAGAGGATGCACCCCTCGTGTGTCACACCTCAGCTGTGGCAGGGGTCACTGGGCGTCTCACTTGGCACCACTGTGCAGTTTTGGTCTCCCCTCTCGGGCCCTTTAATCCCCGCCGAAGGCTGGTCACCGCACTGAGACGGGCTCTCTGAGCACACACCGGGTAGCCGAGGGCAGAGGCATACTGTGGTGCCCAGGCCAGCCAGAGCTGGGCCCTGTCCCCGTCCCCCTGTCCCCCGTCCCCCGTCCCCTGCCCCTGTCCCCTGCCCCCGCCCAGGCCAGGGGAGCACAGGGAACAGGTCATCCCCAAGCCAAGGGGTGGCCCTAGGGTGGCCAGGAGAGGGCAGGACCCTGGTGCCAGATGACCACTGTCAGGGTAGGGGGGGCTGGCGCTGAGGCCACAGGAAGGCGGGGGTCAGGCGGCCTGCGTGGGGTCTGGGCAGCAAGTGGGGTGCTGGGCCCCGGCCTGGAGAAGCAGGCATGGAGCCTGGGAGGAGCAAGACCCAGGAGAGGCCGGGGTCGGGGAAGGAGCGGGCAGGAGGCCAGGGCCTGGCCCCAGATCAGGGACCGGCGGCCCACCAGGCCAGGCACTGGGGCTGGGGGCTGCGATGGGTTCCGACGACGTCCGCGGCCCTGGCCCGCCCTGCCCGGGAAGGCGCCCGCTGCGCAGCCCCCATTTAAGGCAGCGCTCTGCATTTGCATGTTAATGACAATATTTGTCTTAAAGCGGAGGTGGCGCGGGCGGCGCGCGGTTGCCATGGGAGCACCAGCTGCCGGGGAGGGGGCTGGAGCCGCCGCTGGGGCGAGATCCCGCGTGACGCCAGCCCAGCCCCGGGGAGGCGCGGGGCAGGGGTGCGGGCAGGGGAGCCGGTGCCTGGCGCCCCTCGGTAGCCGGGTTGGGTCGGCGGGGCCTGGGGCGGCCGCCAGGGTTGGGACTTTGTGGAAGGGACCCTCCCTGGAGGTGGCTTCCAGCCAGGCCCACCCAGTGCCCGAGAACCCTGTGTCTGTGACGGTGACATCTCCCCACCCCCGCTTGACCCCGTGCTGTGCCCCTCACTGAGGTGGAGCTGGCCTGGGCTGGACGTCACGGCCTCCACCCGGGAACCCACGGCTGACCTCTGCCTCGGGCCCGCTGTCCTCCAGACTCAGGGACACAGGGATGGGCAGAAGCAGAGAGCTGTCCTGCCATGTCCCAGGCTGCTGGCAGTGAGGCCCCAGGCCCTGCTCCTGAGGGGTGAGGCCAGGCCGCTTCCTGGGGGCGGTGGGCCCTGGGGGAGCTGCAGTCTGGCTGCTCTGCATCTTATTGGCTGTGTGTTCCTTGGAGGTGTCTTGGTGTCTCTGAGCCGCGGTGGGCCTCCCAGCTCAGGGAAGCCAGGGGGCTGAGGACTGGTTTCCCTTCAGCTCCGGGCACATGGTCGGCGCTTGGCCGCGGGGCACTGGACTTGCTTGGTGAGGCTGAGACCCGAGGGCCAGGAGGAGGGTGGATGGGACAGTAGAAGGGAGCCCTGTGGGGTCTGTCCACCCTCCCCTCAGTCATCCCCTCAGCGGGCACCTCCCCAGAGCTCCTGGGGCCTTGCGGTGGACAGGCTGGACCTGAGGTCAGAGCCCCACAGGACGCCTCCAGCCACCGTGGTCAGGGTGGGCTTGGAGAGGGGCCTGGGGCGGAGGACCTGGTGAGGAGGCAGCCCTGCCTGGGGGACCTGGCTGCGTCACACTGGGGCTTTGGCGGGATGGTGGGGTTTTCGGGGTGGAGAAAGCACAGACGGACACTGTGTTCAGTCAGCGCCCTGCTGAGCCAGTGAGGTGGACGTCTCTGACCTGCGTGTGTGCAGAGGGCCGCGGCCTTGCCAAGGCCTGGACCTCGGAAGGGTGCTACTGAGTGGAGGGGGATCAGGCCTGAGGCTGGAGACTGCGCTCGCTGCTCTGAAGCTGGACTGAGCCTGCAGTCTTCCCGGAGGGCACTGGGGAGCCATGGAAGGGTTTAGAGCAGGGGAGAACTCAGACCTGCATGTCCAGATCACTGCCGTTGCCCCTGCCCCTCCCAGCCCCCTCCCAGCCCCCCAGCCTCCCAGCCTTGTTCCAGATCTGCTTAAATCCCGGCCCTGGATGGACAAAAATGGGGCTCCTGTTGGGGTGGGCCAGGGTGGGGCAGGTGCTGGGTGGCAGGGGTTCCCACGGAACCAGCTGCCCGGCTCCAGCAGCAGCAGGTGAGCAGTGGCTCCGCAGCCCAGCTGGCCGCCTCCCGCCGAGCCCGCACTGTGGAGGGCCGAAGGGAGAGAGACGTTTGTGGTTGTGAAAGCAGAGACGGGGTCACAGCCCCTCGGGGAAGCTGGCCCGAGGGAGGGGCAGCGAGGTTTGGAAGGCCCTGACCAGCGGCAGTCCCGCTGGTCTGGGGCCACCATCCTGAAGTGGACAGGCGGGGGGCAGCGACCGGCCAGCGGGCGGCAGACAGACGGGGCACAGACAGAAGCCAACAGGCAGATGTGATGCGGCGGTGAGCGGTGGAGGGAAGCCCTGGGTGGGTGGACAGGCATGACGGAGGGTGTAGGGGTGGACAGAAAGATGGCAGGAAGGGGACAGGTGGAGCTGGGGGCCAGGTGGCTCGGGAGGCTGAGGCAGGAGGACGGCGAGTTCACAGCCAGCCTCGGCAATGTAGTGAGGCCCTGAGCACCTCAGCAAGACCCTGGCCCTAAAAAACGCAAAAAGGGGCTCGGGGTGTGGCTCAGTGGTCGAGGGCCCCTGGGTTCAGTCCCCGGCACAGAAACAAATATGGACAGGTGGGGAAACGGGTGGACAGATGGACAGGTGAAGGAATGGACCGATGGATGGATGGGTGGACAGGTGGATGGACAGGTGGATGGATGGATGGATGGACAGAGAGATGGATGGATGGACAGGTGGATGGATGGATGGATGGATGGACAGCTGGATGGATGGACAGGTGGATAGTTGGATGGATGGACAGAGAGATGGATGGATGGATGGATGGATGGATGGACAGGTGGATGGATGGATGGATGGACAGATGGATGGATGGGTGGATGGATGGTAGGTGGATGGATGGACAGGTGGATGGATTGATGGATGGATAGATGGACAGGTGGATGGATGGATGGATGGATGGACAGGTGGATGGATGGATGGACAGGTGGATGGATGGATGGATGGATGGATGGATGGATGGATGGATGGACAGGTGGATAGATGGATGGACAGATGGATGTATGTATGGATGGACAGGTGGATGGATGGATGTATGTATGGATGGACAGGTGGATGGATGGATGGAAAGATGGATGGATGGATAGATGA